GGGGGGGGGGGGGGGGGGGGGGGGGGTAGATAGGACCTACCTGTCCACAAAGGTATGATGGAGGAGGAAGATGGGGTCGTTGGCTGAGCCCTGCACTGAGGACATGGAGCCGTTCATGTAGACGTGCAGTGAGGCATGCATCATCAGCTGTGGGCTGCTGCCCAGACCGGTCTCGGGGTTTCCAAAGCCTGGGCGAAGGGCAAAGGTCAGAGGTCAGGGGTACAAGCATCCCCCAAGCCTATTGGCAGTTAGGCTATTCTGTTAGAAAAAGTGAACAGACAAGCCCAACATAGAGAAATCTACACACCCACACTCAAACCTCAAAAAAGAACTCTTTCTCCTTATTTAAAATAATGTCCGAGCCAACATGTCTTGAATAAAACAGGTAAAGGATCACACACAATAAACGGGGGAAAATTTAGCAGGAGGAAGTGCCAGACAATCTGATGAAGATTAAAATTCTGCTGTCATTATATGTCACTGAGCGTGAGTTATTAACACAGCTGGGTGTTTTACGGAAGTGAGCCAGATTCAGCCTCAGGCCTTGGCTGCACCTCTGAGGCCGGTGAACACAAGCTGATTATATGACAAGAGTTAGCAGACGTTAGCCGAGCTCGGCCTTACAGGCCTGGGGTGCGCCAGCAGTAATGTGAAAAGCGACATTCATAAAGCATTAAGGGAACAGGTACAGCCACAGATCTGTTTTACAGTGTGGCTTTATGGTAGTTTGCAGGCTTAAAGGGATGGAATCAGGCATTGGGATGGGGATTTGACAGGAATATGAAGATAAATAGTGCAGGAGACCTTCCAGAGTGTTCCGGAAGCTCCTATTGGCTGTTATGTCCATGGGGCCGGTGTCATAGCCCTCCAAGGAGAGGGCAAACTCCACGTCAGCCGAGGTGGGCAGCCGGCTGACCAGCTGTCGGTCGTGGTTGCCGGGGTTACGCAGCAAGGGCCCCTCCCCCGCGCCGTCGCAGAGCACGCCTCGGCTGTTGTACTCCGGGGCCCGAGAGCAGATCACCTGTGTGGTTTAAGGGGGAGAGATTAACGCGCTGCTGGAGAGCGACCCCCCGTTTCATCAGGAAGGCTCTCCGTGTTCACATGTATGAAGTGGGCAGTGTGAACCCTTTCAGATATAACCAGTGACATTTATGCTTGTTAATGAAATAATGCCACTGCCTAAGAAGCAATGTAATAGAGACGCAATAACTGCGATGTTAAATTCCCTTTATGCCTCAGCTCAAATAGTCACTCCCGAAAACCTACGACACAGCACGTAACGGTATGTTTTTACCATTTTAGCAAATGCACGTAATAACTTATGCCTCCCTATTTCCATTCCCAGCTGGAAACTTACGGATAATATATTTTGCAGGTGCTTGCATTCAAGGCCACCCACTGAATACAACTGGCCCTCCGTATCCGCGGGTTTCGCATCCGCAGATGCGAAAATATTTCAGAAAAAAAATCCAGAAAAGCTCTTTTTTTCCTTGTCATCATTCCCTAACCAATACAGTATAGCAACCCTTCACATAGCATTTACATTGTATTAGCTATTACAAGTAATCTAGAAATGATTTAAATTATACGAGATGATGTGTGTAGGTTGTATGCAAATACTATTCCATTTTATATAAATAAAGGACTTGTGCAGATTTTGGTGTCCGCGGGGGGTCCTGGAGCCAAGCCCCCGCAGACACTGAGGGATGACTGCATATAGACCTACTTTAAGCGCTCATTTTGCCGGGCCACTACACAGTGTTAACACCGAGAGCTTATATAAAGCTGCCTAAGTGCAGATCTGACCCATAGGCTCACTTTAACATGTAAAAAGTAGAGAGATACGTTGTGTAGGGTGCTCGGTATAACTTGCTGAGTATTATACAACGGATCCCACGCGTGTCGCCCACGGAGCAGTTAGATAACATGGCGCAGGGGTGTTAGGCTCCAGGGGAGTCTGGCCAGGACACCATCCAGGGCTTCATGCTGATGATGGAGCCCATTCCCTTATCCCCTCTGCTTGTTCTGAATCATTTTTATTCATGTGAGGGTCGTAGTTTTGATCCCCTGATTTAACTCTAATAACTGTGTCAAATTATGCTGCACTGATCAATACAAAGGTACCAAGGCGTGTAATGTGTTATACTGTAAGTTAATTATAAATATATTTTATTATTTGCTTTGTGGTGTCTAAAGTTACACCGAAACCACAGTACCATGCAATATACTTAATGTAGCTGTTCACTGAGTAGCTTTAGGCCTGTTTCACTTCTGTATAAATTCACTGTGCGTTTGTGTGGCGGACGCCTTTTTACTGCGGTAAATGACTGCTATTCATTTTTATTTAGTCTACTTTCACATTTATTTTATCTAGTAGACACTTTTATCCAATGAGATGTACGAGTGAGTTTTATGTTTCTTAAATTGCCAGCAGATATAACTAATGAACCTCACTGCAAATTAACTTCTAGTTTATGTTACCTTTAATGCAGTAGGCCTACAATATGACGTAAAATTAAAGCCATCGCTTAGCTTAATCAGCATGCTGTTTGTTTGCCTTGAATATTCTACTCCAATTTGCTACACCAGGAATGCATAGGATTTGATGCAACATTCATGGTACAAATTCATGTCCTTAGTCACTATGATTCACCCTCATTTTTATGGAAATGTGCTTAAAAGCACCCGCTTGCAGATCACTCTGCTTACTTTACCTTCCAGGCAGAGAACACGGATGCGGGGCTGATCCGGTTCGGGTCCAGAGGACTCCGGGCCCCCATCAGCTCGTCGGTGCACACCTCGCAGTCTCGCACGTCGCGCCAGTCCCAGTAGGGCAAGACGAAACCCGGATCGCCCGTCAGCCGGCGGATCTCATCCTCCCAGAGCAGCAGGTAGAGCCGGTGCCAGGGCAGGAAGGCTGGTGCCCAGTGCCCAAAGTCCACATTCGTCCACACGTTGTCGGGTCCCCCGAGAAGCGCGTCCCTGGATACGTAATAGTGTATCCATACGAAGAGGTCATAAATACTGACGTCTGCAAACATGGGAACCGAACCGTTACCCATCTCACTGTAGGTGCCGGTCACAATCACATAGTCAGGGCTTATGGTGTTTTTCGCCAAGTTTAAGTAAGAGATGAACTTCGTCCTTTCGCTAAGCGACAGATGGAAGATGTTCCTCCTGACAGACTCCCGTCTCTGGTCACATTTCTCACCGGCGAACCCGAACCTGCAGCGCCCACAGTCAAAGCCCATGTAGTTTCCCGTACAGGTACAAGTCCTATTGTAGAAGACGGAGGGCCAGCTCTCCCTGTCGTCTATGCCGGAGAAGGGGTACTGGGGGCCGTTGGGGAGGTCAGACACCACCACATCCTGGCAGGAGCCCCTGCCGGAGAGGACTCCGCACGCCGAGCCATCCCCGTCCCACACTGGGCAGCACTGCTTGGCGCGCAGCACCTCAGTGGTCGCACAGGGCCTTGGGAACTGCTGACTGGTGAGTCGCAGCAGGAAGAAAAAACTTAGGAGAGCGAAACAAAACATCATTTCTCGGGTGAGCAAAACTTTTCCAAGGGGTTGGAAGGACTGGAGCTTTATGAGGAGTGTCATCAGAAGGCAAAGCCCCCGGCTCCCCACAGGGCCCCAGCACTGTCACATGCTCAGGATAAGCCCCCCCCCCGTGGCATGGCCACTGAAAAGGCATCTTGCTCGTTTGCACCCTCTGTAGTTTCCAGTGATTTCATTGACTGTTTGTTTATATACTTATTATCACAATTTGTATATTTCCCTGTAACACTGCATTGTGTCATTCTTACTTTTGATGAATAAATCCTATTATGGAGTTCATTAAAAGCTGAAAAACGCAGATTTCCCGAAAAACTGTAACTTAAACTGTGATGTACATGGATTGCAGATAAACTGAGAATATTCAGTTTATCCTGTACACAAAGCCCTCATGTTTAGGTGTTTGTGTGCGCTTAAATATGGTACAAAACCCGGTCTTTTCTATGTTAAAATGTAGTAGTAGTAATAATAATAATAATAAGAAGAAGAACTATTTTTAGAAAATATCAATATTATATTATTAGAATAACTAATATTCATGATAACAACCATCACAAAAATAATAGTAATAATAAAGATGGATGAAATGCGTTATCTAAGATGACAAAATCATTAATTTAATGTTCAAAAACTGACATGGATTGATTTAATCCCATGGACAATAGGTAAACTTGCTTTGTTCACGTCTTGTTAGTGTGTGTGTGTGTGTGTGTGTGTGTGTATAAATAAATATAGATAAATAAATATAGATTCCCATAAATCCACTTAATGCATACCAGCAGGGAAGACCAAAGTACTTTTGGTTTATTATTCTAAAAGTTGTAGGGAACAATACAGAAATTCACTGACAGTAAATCATCATGTCCTCCTACTCAATTTCTTGTGTGGTAAAAAGAGAGGAGTGGTCGCATTGTGAGTGCATCGAGACTAAAAGCTTTTAGGGGTCACGAGCCCGTCACAGGGCCGGCCAACGAAGCACGTGTTTGCCCGAAGGGCTGTAGTGAAGCGTCACATGCTAGGATGGCAGCCTCGGGTCCGGGGCTGACGGGAGAATGAACAGAACATGCATTCCCAGGAGATAAAGCGCAGCATCTGATGCACCCATACAGTCCACCAAACGGAAAACGAATTCATTATAGTAATAACAACTTATCGCTTATTAACAAACTCAAAATCTTTGCAACGAAAGGTTTATATATAGCGTACAGAACTTAAATTAGGGCTTTAAAGGGGATTATAATTTAACGCAAAGGTAAACATTTAAAGTATCCAGAGATGGGCAGTATTTCACTTAAATGCGTTTAAAATATGTATTTAATTACATTTTGAGAATTTTGAAATTTTTATTTTGCTGGTCGGAAAAAAGTCAGATATCTATGTAACAAAACACTTTGAGAGATTGTATTTAATTATTGCATTTAAAATTTTATTTTCTGTAATTTTGAGAACCTTCATCGCCAGGCTTACAAACTTTCAAATGCAGGCTATCACCATCTTTGGCTAGATGCAAGTAAATCACGTGACACGTCCTATTGCGTACCGCTTCCCGCAACAGACCGACGTCTTTAGGACTTGAATTAAATTGCCTTATGGTGAAGTATGTAGTGAAATAAACTCAGGTATACTGCTCACTGAATGTCGGTATAGGGCAGAAAAATAGAGCGACTAGCAAACAGCAGTCCTGTGCTCTAGAACTTCTGAATTAACTTGTATTTAACTTGCCATTCTAGTTTATTTCAACCGGCATGCCCATGCAGGGGCATTTTGTGGTTTGTCATATATGGAAGCCTTCATTAGCGATAAATCAGACTAGCTACTTTTGTTCCTAAGGTCAAAAATAATTTCTATCAGTTGAACATGGGCGTTTTAGAGCCACTGAGGCTATTTAAAAGGTTCACGTTGTATATTATACATGCGTCACGGCCGCTGATCCCGCGGGGGGGAGAGTTTCTTCGTTAAGTTAACGTATGTTTGGCAAACTACTGTAAGACAAACCGGGAAATGCACACCTTATGGTAATTAATTTAAGAAAGCGTCTGTGTATCAATTTGCGCGTGCACGCCCACACACTGGCGCCCCAGTCATCAGCCACTGCACTAATTCAGTGGGAAACACTGAGTGCAATAACGGTGTCACAGATCTGAAATAGACTAAAACCATGATACATCTACGATCTGGTAACCGCTACCCCCCAGGGTGGCTACCTATTCCATATCAGAGTTCTTGCTGCGTGCTGATTGGTCAGTTTCCTATAGTCATGCATGTGTTACTAATGTAAAGTTACGGCAAGCTGTATTTTGTAAATATTACACATTACTAAGACCGGACGATATTCCTTAGCGCCCGTAGCTCCGGATCCTTACGACCCTGCATAGGAAAAGAGGGCAAAGAAAATGGATGGAAAATATACCGGGGTATGCGTTTCACAAAATTATTATTCCATTTAAAGTTACGGCAAGCTGTGTATTTTGTAAATATTACACATTACTAGGACTTTAATGGTATTCGTTATAGCAAGGGCGTAACTTTGGTTTCAACATGGGGGTCGGGGAGGTTTGAGGTCTCCGCCCATTTAGGAGTAGACATAATTTACGTCCATGCGTCGTGTACGTTACTATTTTTTCTATGTTTTCAAATTACTTAAAATAACTTGCATTTTACTTAAATACAATTTCTCACACCAGTATTTTGTACTTGTATTTTGTTACATTTGATGATTTAGTATTTGTAATTTGTAGCAATTAACTTTTTGATGTATTGGTCTCTGGAAGTATTACGACATCAAGCTGGACTCTGTACAATTGAATTAATTGTTAATTAAATATGGATCATTCTGACTATAACGCCTGCAATAGTTTCATAATCAATTCGATGTTCGTAACAAACTACAAGCACAAATACGCGGACACGGATGGTCCCGTTGATTGCCGGAGGGCACAAAAGTTATCATACCAGTCTGTCAAAAGGTGCCATGTTGGCGCTTTAAAAAAACAGTCGAAGGTTTGAATATGTGTGACCTATAAAATAGCAATATAACTGTAAATGATATTAAAATCATGCAGAGCTAATATAGTTTAACTCCTTCTCTTCATGCATCTTATCTTGCCTCTCTGCTCCTCAGAACCCTGCACTAATGACATGCATCTCCACGGCCTTCTCCCTCATTTGCAGGTAGCCCACTTTGGAGGAGAAGCGCGCCGCCACGTATGTACGTGAACTTATCACGTAAAATGCAAATATTTTCATACTTTGTGTTTGTCACTATAGCCTATTTTTCCAACCATACTCAGAACTATGCCTGTTGAGTTGGAAAAGGTGACGTATCGAGTTGTTTTAACATTAATAAGAATAATAATAACAAACTATATGGATCCAGCAGCTACCTTGCTTGGACCCCTAAATAAAAATAAAATAATGGTATTAGACCGGACGATATTCCTTAGCGCCCGTAGCTCCGGATCCTTACGACCCTGCATAGGAAAAAAGGGCAAAGAAAATGGATGGATAATATAACGGGGTATGCGTTTTACTGTACCATAATTCACCATCTATCCTGCCGGTCATGTACATTAAGCCAAATGCAGCGGGAGCGACTTTGCGGCTTTTATGCAGATTAAATCTCTGGTGACCGAGGGGAGGCGCAGTGGAGCAGCCACGTTGCCATGGAGAGAAAGTCGCTCGGCGGCGATGGTCGGACACTGGAGATCGCTGGTGTTCAGATGCGCTCGGCACTTATGTGATGGAAGTCCATTGAACCGGCAAGGTACGTAACCTGCTTATATTCATACTCCTTGTAAACATGTCCTGAAAAATCTGTAGAGCTTTTAAAGACAATATATTGTAATATAAGATGTTTTAATTTTAAATGCCTTTAAATACATTCATTCATTATGAAAAAAGTAATGTTTTGTACGTTAATTTACCTAAAAGTCGCCATAGTGGAACAGAATGATGATTTTTATTAATATTTAATATAATTTTGTGTCTCGTAATATTTGGTGTATTATATGTTTTATAGTGAAATTGAAGTCCAGTAACTAAATAATTAACTATACCTGCAACAGCCTAATAAAATCCAATGCCAACCATCTAAAGCCTGGTTAACTGTCAGTGTGGCTTTAGACAGCCAGGAAAACCTGCTCAAAAACAGGACCTGGGATAAAATTGCCAAACACGATCACAGGACTTTAAGGGTGATACTTTATTAATCTCTGTGGGGAAATGTCCAAATGAAGGAGAAAATCTTCATGGTGATAAAAATCATTTACAAGTACGCACCATTCTATGACTGGTGAAGGCAAGAATTAGATTTCAGGAAAATTGGCATTGTTATGGACGAATAAGGGAACAGAAAACGATTTTGTCTACAGCACCCTGAGAATAATAAGACTATGTGTGCAGGTTTGCCACAGCAGTCAAATAATTTTGTTGGAATTGGAAGTAGAATTGTTGAGTTCGGAGGTGATGTGCTGGACAGCCAGAAGAGTGCAGGCTGTAGTTTGATGTGAAGCCAAAATTTAGCCAAGAGCTTTGGCACCGCATATACCCAAACTAACATCCTCAGTAGACACTCCTTTATCTTCAGCTGTGGCACAAAGTATTTAGGTCAGCAGAATGGCAAGAAGAACTAATTTAGGTAATTTTATGAGCATATCTGCACTTCTGTGACACAGACCTTCATAATAATGTATCTGAAAACATAATTTTCTTTATATTGCGTAATGTTAAGGAAAGACTCGTGCCTATTCTTTAAGAAAAACCTGTAGCTTTAATTACTGAGGATGATTTTGTTTTTCATTGAGTGAAAATAGTTTATTTGAAATAAGATTAACACGAGGCTTTTTTTCTGAATGCTTTTGAACTGTCGCTCTTAGTGCATGGAATTCTTTCTCAAGCACAAACCATGTTGCAGGGGAGGGATGAGGCAAGGGGCAGCTCTCCCGGGGTGCATGCTGGGGGAAGGCAAGGCTCCCAGGGCTGGGATTCTGAGGCACCAGCCGTGTCTTCCAGAAAACACCATTCTTACATACTTACGCATATACCTTCTGCGTGGACAGCAAACGTAGTTTAGAACATTAATACTGCAGCTTTTAATACTTTGTATGGCACCAGCATAAAACAGGCACATGTTGGCATCAATTTTTCAGTTTAAAATAAGTATGATGTGAAGTTGGTACACCCACAGGGTGGCGTTGTGGAGTGTAAAAACTAAGCATAAGTTATGAAGTAGGCATGAATATCCCCAAATGACACTGAACAGTTTAAGCATGCTGTGGGAACAGAGAGACAAGATCACCATAGAAAGTCGTAAGGCAAGACAAGACAACAACTCAAGACAGGATAGGATAGGATAGGATACTGTAGGATGGGTTAAGATAAGATAAGATAAGATAAGATAAGAAACTTTATTGATTTTAGGCCATAAGCTGTAAGGCTGTTATCACGACTGACTTGTGTCAAGAATGTACATGTTTTGCATGTTACTGTACTTGAGTCTTTCAGGAAACTAAGTTGCCTAATGATTGGTCTCTTTAATGCATGTCCACAAATTCCATAGTTCCTCCACACCACGAATTAGGAACCGGAAATTGGTACCGTAAAATAATCTTGTCATTAATATCTCCAGCACATATTGATCTCGCGTTAAGTCATAGGGAGTTTTAGTCTTCTGGAGGTATTACAAAGTGACATATAACTGCCGACCTGTCCTCCAAAAGAAGACCTGTGAATGCTGACTCCTGGTTTATCTTGCTAGGTTGGGAAGCTCACACCCTTGCCCCGATCATGCATGTCGTCATCCTGGAATCACTTCGGTAATTAGCTGCTGGTGTGGATCAGAAGCCTGCTGACAAATTTCTCTGGCCAGCAACCATGAGCAGTGTGTCGCACTTCCTGCACCCCTCCACCTTAAGCAAAAGGTCCCTGTTGCTCCTGCTTCTCTTGCTGTCAGGAAGGCAGTGGGGGGCAGCTCCCTCTAACCTCCTGGTAGGCGCCCAGCCCAGTGAGCGCCGCACTCTTGCACACGTGCCTGGAGACCTTGTCATTGGTGCGCTGTTCTCTGTGCACCACCAGCCTCCTGCAGACAAGGTGCATGAGCGTAAGTGTGGGGCAGTACGGGAGCAGTATGGCATCCAGAGGGTGGAGGCCATGCTGCACACTCTGGACCGCATCAACGCTGACGAGCGCATCCTGCCTGGTGTGATGCTGGGCTGCGAGATCCGCGACTCCTGCTGGCATTCGGCCGTGGCCCTGGAGCAGAGCATCGAGTTCATCCGCGACTCGCTGGTCTCCAGCCAGGAGGACGCTGAGGGGGACTTTGCAGCCACTGCACGCTGCACTGTTGACAGTTCTGACCGGCCTGCAGGCTCTAAGAAGCCCATCGTCGGACTGATCGGACCAGGCTCCAGCTCTGTGGCCATCCAGGTGCAGAACCTACTGCAGCTCTTCAACATTCCCCAGATCGCCTACTCTGCCACCAGCATGGACCTCAGCGACAAGTCCCTGTACCAGTACTTCATGAGGGTGGTACCATCTGATGCCCAACAGGCCAGGGCTATGGTCGACATTGTCAAAAGGTACAGCTGGACCTATGTCTCAGCTATCCACACTGAGGGTAAGTCAGGGGAACAACACATACAATGTCCATCTCACTCTAGTTGCAAGAGTTAAAACTAGCTCTTCACTCCTTTGGCTGGTTGAGAGTTAACATTAGTTCTTGTCGCTGCTTTGGTTGGTTGAGAGACTCAGTTAATATTAGTTCATCTTGCTCCATTGGCATCCAAATGGTACCTGGGCGGTTTTTAGAGTTTGAGCAGCAGGAGGTGCAACGGTTAAGTAACCGAGATTCGCCCTGAAGGTTCCCAGATGTTTAAGTACGCTGTCAACAGACATCGAGGTACCATGCTTTAGAAGCATTGTGGCTGAATACCCTGTTGGTCTGAGAAAACATCTGGCCGTGCTTCTGAATGGCTCTCTTTGAATCAACACTTACTGTTATCAATATATAAATATGGCTGAGTGTAAATTTGCATATAGAGAGTCTCTAGTACAGGACATTATTTCAAACCCCTTTAAAATAGATTCTGCTAAAAAGTAGGTGACCTGGATTTTATGCAAATGGGTTTTATGCAAACGGGGGTATACTCCTGACATTCCCCTAAATGGGGACACTGCATGTGCCCCCCTACCTCCGAGAACCTACATGTGCAAGTAGTGTCATGTATAATATGGGTTTGTGAGTGAATTGTGGTTCCTGGAAATGACTCTCCATTATTACCCCAGAGGTAAATGCAGTGACCTATTAGCCTTGCATGTGAGCTGTGGCATCAGGCGGTACTGCAACTAAAAGCAGTGCTAGTTAAAATTCTGGGCTTCATCTGCAGGGAACTATGGCGAAAGTGGCATGGAGGCCTTCAAGGACATGGCGACCAAAGAGGGCATCTGCGTCGCCCACTCCGACAAGATCTACAGCAACGCTGGGGAGCACAACTTCGACCGGCTTCTGGATAAGCTGGTTGCGCACCTGCCACGCGCACGCGTGGTCGCCTGCTTCTGCGAGGGCATGACCGTGCGCGGCATCCTCATGGCCATGCGCCGTCGCCACCTAGTGGACCAGTTCCTGCTGGTCGGCAGGTCAGTGGAACCCGGGTCCACACAGCCTCTGCGTGCATGTTTTATATTTAACCTGATTTGTTTTTTTTTTTCTTTTGGTACTCAATATGAGATGGATTCACCTGTGTCTTCCTCTACCAAGACCATCTTCATTGTCTTCATCATTCTTATCATTCTCTCAGAGGCCATCACCATCCTGTTACCCTCACAGTAACATGCTGAAGACATTTAGGAGACAGACTCCCTGCACAGTGACTAGACCTTTCCAGTGCGCTTTGCAGGTAATTGCCCTTCAACTTCCAGTATTTATTCGCTGACAGTAACATCCATAACACAGAATCAGATTATCTTGGCTTTTAATGCAACCTTAATTTCCACAGAGAGGATCCTTGGCTAAAAAAAGAGTCAATTTACAAGATGGCACATTCCATTGGATACTGCGGGAAAAAAGATTTTGTGAATGTACCTTAAGGCTATCATCGTCAGAAATGAAAACTGGTCTATTCTTAGTCTGATTTTATGAAAAAACACAAATTTCTCATTAACTTTTACTCTCTCGGCATCCAATTTGGTGATCTCTTTTATTTCTAGCAATGAATACGAGTCGGTTACAGTTCTGAAGAAGCTGTATATCGGAGACTCTCTAAAGTTCATCATTATTTGAATGGGTATAAATCCCAATCATATATTGCTCTCTCGTCTGTGTGTAATCCACCTTTTCTCACTAAGTGGATGCTCTGTAACCTGCTTGATTATTGGTCAAGCAGCTATGTGTGTGTATGGTCAGGTTTGCTCGCGTCAGTGATCACATCTTCACACTACAGTCTCAGAAGAACCCCAGCATTCAAGAAGTGTCATCTGAAGTCTGATTAAGGAATGAAACATGTAACTCTTAAAATCAGAAATTATACAATAAGTTAACACAGTTTAAAATACATTCAGTGGCCACTTTATTATGTGCAGCTAGCTAATACTGGGCATGTACCTCTTTTGCCTCAATAACCACTTGAAGGATAGAAGACTAGAATAAAATTAGTAGACAGAGAGAGATACAGAAAAACAGAAGAGTAACATAGAATTCACAAAGAGAATTGAATAGAACTAACCGATCGATCACAAGATGTTTCTAGTCGATCGCAACACAACTTTCAATCCCCTCCAGTTGGGAAAATATACCAAGGGGGTAGCACCATCAAGATTCAGTAGCCCGCCAGAGTATTTTCATTGTAAAGAAAAGTAGCACTCGCTGTAAAAAAAGTTGGAGAGCACTGACTTACGGAGAGTGTAACACAGAATTCACAAATGAATAGCATAGAACTTACAGGGAAAGTAACACAGAATTTGCTAGCAGCCTCAGGCGTGGTGTTAAATTCCCTCTTTCCTAAGAGGCACAGTCTTCCAACATCTCTTTTTTTGTCTGGTTTCCCTTTCTGAGTGTATTTCAATCCTCAGCTTCAGAAGCAGAGGTCAAACCCCTGCACAGAGGATGTACCATGGAGCAGAAATGTACCCGACCAGCAGAAATCACACCTCTGGCAAATCCTGAAATCCAGATTTTGCCACGACTGTGTCTGCCAGGACGAGACCCTCTGAGAGCTGCTGAAACCCAGATAACAGGATGGTTTGTCCTATTTGCTGGTGCCAGAGATACCCCAGAGTTCTGTATATTTTATATAAGCAAGGCCGAAGTTACACAAAAAGCATGATACAAATTATTTGTGTTTGTGTTCACCAGATTTAGCAGGTATTGGTTTTGTGGGTATTTTAATAATGACTGAAATGAGGGTGGGTAAAGTGTGGGTCATTACACACAGTGTTATGGGCTGTTGTTTACTTATAGGTACATATTGACAGGCTTTGTGGAGCCCGGGAAGTAATGGCAGCCACGTCTGGCTGACGTGGACTCGGGCTCTTCTGTTCCCACGACTCCATGGAGATGTCAGTGAGGATTCCCCCTGGCCTAGACGCCGGCCTCTGTGCCTGTGTGACACCTGCATCACAGCTGAGTCTCTCAGACAGGCCTGATCTTCATCTGCCGTGTCCTAACGTGGCCTCTGGCTGATTGGAGGTTCCGACGCAGCCCTTCACCGCTATTGGTTCAATGTTCCACATGCCAAAAGCAAGAAAGAACAAAATACTGAGACATAAAGATCCTCACATTCCTTCCGATCTACTCCGCTCCAGGGATGTGACCACATCGGACTGATTCACATAATCATGACCTATCTGCCCTAGTACCAGGTCTCTGGATATTACTGACTGACGAGTGTCTCTGAATTAATGCTTTTCACCTTCACCTTTTGTTCATTTGAGCTACCATGCTGTTCCCACCTCATTACATCATCATCAACAGTCTTGACAAAGAAATATGTAATGATATTAATTGGGTGGAAGACAATTGGGAATACAATTGCCTTTTAAGGCACAAATGACCAAGATTTCTGTCACTAGCACCAAAGCACTTGTCTGTCTGTAATGTCTGTGGAATTTGTGTGGTGTCTGGCTGTTTGAACAGTACCAGCAAACCAGTGTCAGGCTGAGGCCTGTAGCAGCTTTCTGTGATCTGTCAGCAATCAGTGAGCAATGAGTCCAATTCACTCACACTCACTTCAGGTACATGACAAGCTAAGACGGGTTTAGCAGTTCTTGAGATTTTAATTTGTATCATAACTGCCTGGGGATGCACAATGATTTTAACTTGCCCAATTTGAGGCATCTGTTGCACTGGTTTTGTGACCAATAAAAGCCCTGAAAGGCCCATCTGTAAAGGCTTGTCCTATTCAGGGTCACAGAGGGTCTGGAGCCTACCCCAGAGGCTATGGGTACAACTCCATCGCAGGGCATACTCACACACCAGCCATTTACACATGCACAACCACGGGCAATTTGGTAACTCCAATTAACCTGTGGATCGGGGGGTAATCAGAGCCCTTGGAGGAAACCTCACAATGACATGCAGAGAACATGCAAACTCCACACACATGGAGCCATGTGGAAACTCAAACCACAGTCCCAAAAATCACTGCATCACCGTTCCACCCCCCTGAAAGGCCCATTGCCATAGAAATCAAGTGTCCCCTAAGCAGGAGGAATAATATTACTCAGCATTTTACAGCTTCTCAGTGAGGTGGCCTGTACTCTACCAGGAAAGTACATAGCTTCAGGAACCTTTCCCAGCGACTCTCAGCTGCTGCAGCTTATGCGACATACGCATCATATAGGAAATGTTGTGGTACTGATGGTTTATATATTGCCAGGTCTATGATTGAGATGTTATGGGCTCTGGTCTACAGATGTTACCAGTCAAAGCTCTGTTTCTGCTTTTCCTTCTGTTCCTTCCTTGCTCTCAGCGATGGCTGGGCCGACCGGTATGACGTGACCGACGGCTATGAGAGGGAGGCTGCCGGTGGCATCACCATCAAGCTCCAGTCAGCCTACGTCAGATGGTTTGATGATTACTACCTGGCTCTGCGGCCCCACAACAACCAGCGCAATCCTTGGTTCCCCGAGTTCTGGCAGCACCGTTTCCAGTGCCGATTGGCAGGTCACCCGCAGGAGAACCGGCAGTATAATCGCACGTGTAGTGGTGAGCTGACCGTCACATTACAAGAGTACTGGACTAAAATGTTGTGGACTAGCCAAAAACAGCTAAGCTAACCAGCTACGTGAGCGCCCCATAGCAACTCCACAGCTAAGCTAACCTTAGCATGAATGAGGCCTCCCTCTTAGTCTAACTGTCTTCCCCTAAGCAGATAAGGAGTCCCTGAGACAGCAGTATGCCCAGGACACCAAGATGGGCTTTGTGATTGATGCCATCTACTCCATGGCTTACGGCCTGCACAACATGCAGAGGGAGCTCTGCCCTGGCGGAGATGGCCTCTGCTCGGCCATGCACCCTGTTGATGGCCGCGCGCTGCTCGACTATCTTATGAAGACCAACTTCACTGGAGTGTCTGGGGAGCTGGTCTGGTTCGATGAGAATGGGGACTCCCCGAGGCGGTGAGGAAACAAAGCAGCCACTAGGAGTGTTGCACACACTACTGCATTTAGGAACTATGGGAAAAATATGGATGACTGTCTCCCACAACCTAATGACTCAAAGACTGACATGCCTTTATCCTGCAGAGAAGTAAACCGACAAGCAAACGGGGTAGCTGGAGATACAGCGCAACAAAATATTTGTGTTTGAAGGAGAGTGATTGGTTCCCAGGCTAAATGCACTCACCTTGTTGACGAGTTTCTGTTCGGTCCTAGAGTGTCGCTTTCTCATAATCTGATTATCAGCCAGGTGCAGGCTGTGATGTCATATACATGCCACTCATTCACATTTTAGCATCAGCTTATCAAATGGCACCTCAAATTTGTGTTTTTGAGTAACCTGCAGTACCCCAGAATACATGGCCCTTGATTTCCTGACCTGCTCAGGTACGAGATCATGAATTTCAAGAAGACGGGTCCAGAAGCAGATGACTACAGCTATATCAGCGTAGGCAGCTGGGACAACCAGGGGCTGAAGATGGATGACGATGAGGTGTGGGCCAACCAGAGCGTGATCATCCAGTCAGTGTGCAGCGAGCCATGCCAGAAGGCCCAGATCAAGGTGAGGCTAAGGAATTCGCTTTTATTGTAAAACGTAATTTTTGTTATCTGCTGTGCTCATGTTACATGATTTCCAATCAAGTGGGATGTTAACTGGGTTAAAGGCTTCCTGGTCATTGGTCTCCCTTCCTAAATGCTTTCCTGAGCCCCACCTCAGCCACACAACTCTGTGCTCCCTCCCAGGTGATCCGCAAAGGTGAGGTCAGCTGCTGCTGGACCTGCACTCCTTGCAAGGAGAATGAGTTTGTATTTGATGAGCACACCTGCCAGGCTTGTGCCCTGGGATCCTGGCCCACTGATGACCTCACAGGTGACTCTTCGCTCCACTTCAAGCAAATGTCACACTGAGAGCTTCCTTTGGATTTCAGAGGTGGACATTTCAGGTCCAGAGAGTAAAAATTCAGACCAAGATTTTGTTTCAACCAACCAGTTGAGTACTCTGTGACTGAGGCTCTTTATACTCTGGTTGGTTGAAACAAAATCCTGGTTTGGATTTTTACTTTATGGACCTGAAATTCCCACATCTGTTGGACTTAAATTGTGCATGAAAGGTTGATGAGAGCCTGTGATGGGTTGGCGCCTCATCCTGGCTTGTTCCCTGCCTTGCACCCATGGCCTTCAGGATAGGCTCTGGACCCCTTTGGCCCTGGTTACAGAAAATGGATGGATGGATGAAAGGTTGACATTCTTCCCAAAGCTTGAGATCCTCAGCTCAGTAGCCTCAAAGCTCAATCTTCAGAGATTCTTTCTTCTGTTTTTCATTTAGCAATTTCTGTCCCCATTGCAGGCTGTGAACCCATTCCTGTGGAGTACTTGCGTTGGGGTGACCCTGAGCCCATTGCCGCTGTGGTTTTCGCCTGCTTGGGTCTCGTGGCCACAGCCTTTGTCACCTCTGTCTTTGTGAAGTTTCGAGACACGCCGGTGGTGAAGTCCTCCAGCCGTGAGCTCTGCTACATCATCCTGGCTGGCATCTTCCTGGCCTACCTCAGTACCTTCTCCCTGGTGACCAGGCCACGGATTGCCTACTGCTACCTGCAGAGGCTGCTGGTGGGGCTGTCTCCCGCCATGAGCTACTCGGCCTTGGTGACAAAGACCAACCGAATCGCGAGAATCCTAGCCGGCAGCAAAAAGAAGATTTGCACGCGCAAGCCACGCTTCATGAGCGCCTGCGCCCAACTGGTCATCGCCACGCTGCTTATTCTGATGCAGCTGGCCATTGTGGTGACATTGTTTGTCAAGGAGCCACCGGCCGTCGTGCATGACCACCCCAGCATGCGGCAGGTCCGGCTGGTGTGCAATACTAGCACCCTGGGTGTGGTGGCGCCACTGGGCTACAATGGGCTGCTCATCCTCAGCTGCACCTTCTACGCATTCAAGACTCGCAATGTGCCGGCCAACTTCAATGAGGCCAAGTACATTGCCTTCACCATGTACACCACCTGCGTGGTTTGGCTGGCCTTCGTACCCATCTATTTTGGCAGCGACTATAAGACGGTGACCATGTGCTTCTCAGTGAGCCTGAGTGCCTCCGTGGCACTGGGCTGCATGTTCGCTCCCAAGGTCTACATCATGCTGGCCAAGCCAGAGAAGAACGTCAGGAGTGCCTTCACCACCTCCACCGTGGTGCGCATGCATGTGGGCGACGGCAAGTCTGCCTCCTCCTCTACTGCCAGTGGTGGCTCTGGTAGTGCGAGAAACCTCTGGAAACGCAGAAGCTCCGGGGCTGAGGCACCGAGGTGAGGATCAGGCTTATTGCGTATCTAGAGTTGGGGGGAGGCTCTTCTTTGGGCTGTCTGGACTCTGATACATGAACTAACCCAAAGGATTTCACTATTTATAGTTGTTGGTGATGAATTGGTGAGTTGTAACTGAACCCAAACCTTCACCCTAACCCTAACTTCAACCTAACACTCAGCTAACTATCCCTGAATTTAGAAATAAACATTTAGCAATCACACGTCAGAACACTTCTCTACGATGGTATGGTGCCCCATCCTGGGTTGTTCCCTACCTTGTGCCTGTAACCACTCGGATAGGGTCTGGACCCCCAGTGACCTTGTAAAGCAGTTACAGAAATTTGATGGATGGCTGGCTGGCTGGATGGGTGAATGGATGGATGGATGTCAGAACACAGATAAAAACAGTAAATGTTAAGAGTCAGGACAGCCTTAGAGAACACATATCCCTAAAGTCCTCCCTCAAGTCTTGAACATAATCACGTTGCTTTGGCACATCAGTGAGCCTCTCCTGGGGACACTGGAAGATGTGCTTTATTCTTCAGTCTGTGAGGCACTTCTACTTTGCATTTTCCTTAATAAGAGTCAGTGGGGGCCGTTCCTTTAACGGACCAATCAGGAGCTCTAACCTTGTGCTTCTTGGATGCAGCTCCAATGGGAAGTCGATGACCTGGGTTCAGAATGAGCGAAGCTACCATCACAGCCTGTGGAAGCGCATTTCCATCCATATCAAAAAGAAGGAGAGCAACCAGACTGCTGTTATCAAGCCATTCCACAAGGGCGGAGATGTGGCACCCGAGCCGGGGGCCGAGGCACGGCACTATCCGGTGACTTACCACTCGCAGTTGCCCTCACCGTCATCAATCAGCGCCATGGCGGGGCCCTCGATGGGGCACGAGGAAGAAGATGAGGAGGAGGAAGAACAGGAGGAAGTGGCCCTGTCCTCATACATGAGCCAGCGGCCAGTGGAGTCCTCCCGGGTCTCCATCATGGAGCAAATCAGCTCCATGGTCGACCGCTTCACTGCTAACATAAGTGAGCTGAACAGCATGATGCTGCCTGGCTCCCCGTCATTGACGCCCAGATTCAGCATTACTAGAGAGACTGCGGATACAGGCCTGCAGCAGGAGTCTAGTTTGGAGCAGGAGGGGACAGGCCACTCCCACAGCCTAGCCCCCAGTGGGAGGTCAGGCGCCCTGGAAGATCTGATCGGGCTTATGCCCCCTTCTCCCTTCCGGGACCAAGCAGAGCTGGCTAACTCTACCTCTGTCCTCTGCATGCCCTCCTCCCCCCCATATGAGGGGCTGCTGCTGAGGGAGTTTGGTCCCAGCTCCTCATCCCTGTGAGCGAGCTACACGATTGGGGTGTGGCTACATTGTCGGGTGGGGTTTGCTGGGAGATATATTCTGATAGGTCATGGACACAGCCCAGAATGACAATACAGCCTTGGACCAATCAGGACGCGATGGACTGCCATTAAACTAGCGTGGTGACCTTGTTGGACAGAGAGGGGTCAGGTGGCTGTTCACCTGCATGATGTCACTTACTGTATATTTGAACCATCAGTTCAGGACTCGAGCAGGGGGGTGGGGGTGGGTGGGAAGATGCACAGCAGCTGTTTGGACCAACCACACTGAGCAGAGTGTGCTTACTGTCTATATTACACTCTTTGGTCCGGTATGGCATGAAACAGGTGCTAAAATCTGATAAACAGATAAACCATCTGAATTTAAATACAAGGTTTTTGACCAAAGTCCAGTCATGCTTTCACACACACAATACCAGGGCATTCCTGATACAGAGTTGGACATTTCAGGTCCAGAAGGTAAAAATCCAAACCAAGATTTTGTTTCAACCAATCAGCTGAGCATAAAGAGTATTCAGAATACTCCACCGGTTGGTTGAAGTGTCCACCTCTGCCTGCATAATCTGACGGCACCATTACAAGGGTCGTTATGGTACCATTCCTGCCTTGTCAGATTGCCTCAAATACACAGAGGAATACTTACATACCGTATCTTAAAAATCCTCAGAAAATGTCAGGTCATTTCTTCTGTTCTGTTATTCACAAAGATGCTAACGAAATGTGGGCGATATAAATATAAAAGCATGGTTAATATATCTTGTAAGAAAATGTCATGTGGTGTTGTTTGATTTAAATAGTTTTAAAAAGGTTATTTTTAAATGTTATTTCGAATATTCAAGATTCTCTATTGTCATACAGCCAGGTGACTTTTGGATATATACTCCATAACATTGAAGCACACTATACTCTATACTCTATAATTTAAATGTACATAACATAAATGCTTACTATACTTTATACCCCCTAATACTAATGCACTATACCTTATACCTTATAACATTAATGCACACTATACTATATACCAGGGGTCACCAACATGGTGCCCGCGGGCACCAGGATGCCCCCAAGGACCACATGAGTCACCCACGGACCTGTTCTAAAAATAGCACAACTCACCAGTGAGCAGTGTCCTGCTGTTGCTATTCTTCTTTAATCACATTTGCATTTATATAGATTTAAAAATTATAATATCTAAAAAAAAGCATATAAAACATGTGTATTATACATGAAGTTTAGATAAGTTTAGGAGGGCGTTTCAATGTGGTAGCCCTTCGTATGGCTCAGTACCCGTGAAGTAGCTCTCAATTTCCAAAAGGTTGGTGACCCCTGCTATATACCTTTTAACAAATAAAACACGGCTGAGTAATACTCAGAAGGTTGCTGGTTTAAGCCTGGCCTTGGCAGAATAGTCACATATGTGGGCCCTTCAGCAAGGCCCTTAACCCCCAGCTCCATGGGCGCCACTGCAGGTGGCTGCCCTTCACTGCCAAGCTTACTCTCACCTACATGTGGGTCATGGAGAGTAAGATGCGGTGAGTGAAAAGGGAATTTCCCCACGAGGGATCAATAAATTGCCATTTTTATTATTATTATTATTTTAGTCCATAACATTAATGCACCCAATTGTGTTTAGCTTGTAATATTAATGCATACAGTACTGTTTACCCTGTAACATTAATGCAAACTAATCCACCCACTTAGCTTGGACCTCTGCCCTTCTTCTTCGGTACGGGGTTGAAATGTTAATACATGCCTGATGTGTATGTAAGTTATCACAAAGTGAGTACAGGAAATACAGCCTCTCACTTACACATAGTCTCACATTTGTTTCTTCTCCCAGTATGTGAAAAAAACCATTTAGACAAGAGTTTGGGATATTCAGTTGATTAGCATAGTTTTGACTGGTACAAGTTTGGAGAAAAATACCATTTAAATACTAGTTTGTTATTATTATTATTATTATTATTATTATTATTATTATTATTATTATTAATAAAAAAGCTAGGCTTACTAAATGTGTTCTTTTCATGCTGCCTTACCATTGTTATTGTGTGGTATTGTTTCTACCCTGACATAAGGTGTTTGACACAAGATGGATTTGGTGACCAAGGAATATTTCTATTGCTCTTGGAAACGTTCCCCCATCTCTGCATATCAGTTGTCTAGATGCACACTGATAGTCATGTGGGAGGACAATTAATATTCTGTCTTCAGACATAAAAATATGACACCTACAATAATATTGTCGCAGGACACAATATGGTGTGTCTGTGTGGGGGGGTGGGGGGTGGGGGGTGTGGACTAGGTTTGCATTACATTATGGGGAGCAATTGTCCCCCACAATGTGATAAAAACCTATTATTTTGATGCTGCAGGGACCATTTCTCAGGTCCCCTCAAAGATCTATGACTGCATTCAAAAAACTAAAAATGCCAAAAGTCTCGTATTTTGTTTGATTACTTGTTGGTTGAGGTTGTGGGGTGGGTAAGGGTTAAGATCATCATGTTGAGATTAGAGTTTTCCCCATAGAAATTAATTGAGAGTCCCCACAAAGATATAATTACAAATCTGTGTATGTGTAAATATTGATGACAAAAGCAGTAGACATAATATCCTGTAAAGTGTAATGTATGACAATGTATGTAAAGTGTAATTGTTGACAAAATGCTAAATTAGCTGCCCCCTGCTTTGTCACATTGTCACATATGGGTTAAATGCAGAGGACACATTTCGTTGTTGTGCACTGTGTCCTGTGGTGTGTCAACAATGACAATTGATCACTAAATTCAAATTCAACTATAAGGCTTACTGTTTTACATATAGTATGCTGGTTTGTTACATTCAAATAGCTGATATTTTTATTGGGAATGTTGTTGATTCAAAATATTTCTTTTATTGTTGTCATATTTTACATATTTTAAATGTGCTTTCGCAGGAATTACTTTAAAGCGCTGTACAGACAGATGTAAAATCCTGGAGACACGAGGACAGAAACTGATCCTGGAATTTCATTGGTTCTGCGACACCTCGTTGTGCCGTAAGAGTATTGACGACTTTTTTATTGTTGTGCTTTTTAAAACTAACGTAGTTATGACTGTTTTACTGCGTGACGGACGGTAAACGAAGCAGGTTTTAGCGGCTGTGTTTGTGTATTTTGGCTGTGCTGTTCCCATGGCGACGTCTTCCTTGTCATGTGATCACAATGCTGCATGTCCTAGTCACGTTATTAAAGTCACGCTTAAAATGACAGCACATGGTTTGTGGTGTGTCCTGAGTCATTCAGTGACGCTCCCCCCGCATCTATAAAGGCTAATTCAGTGCTTGCCTTGCGTTCATCTGAACACACGCATAGGCACACAGACACCCTCTGTTTGGGCTTCATATATGCACTGAAAATATTATGAACAGTGATCGTGAAACATTGAAAATGTCCTCTGAATCCACCTGTCTGTGTAAAACCTGCTTCTCCAGGTTTGAGACTATTGTGAACACCAGAAAGCAGTAATCTAAGAATACATCCGTAACAACGATTCGATCTGTTGCCATTAAATACGTCGATTCCCTCCAGCTATCATCCGTAACATTTAATTAGACTTCCCGAACAATTGGATGTGATGTTCCCTTTATTTACCGCGTAGAAACTGCATCCGGAGGCTGACAAGTTAAAATTTCTGGAAAGCGATTTCCATCTATTATAAAGTAGGTTAGTAAAATTACGACGGAGCTCCAAGTTCCCGCAGATGAACACAGAGGAACGAACTCCAGAAAAAGAAAGTTTCATGCCTTGACAGTCAAGAGTTTCGCTTTACACCCACTGCGCGGCTAGGGTGATTCACGGGATAACAGCTATCACGCCGATACAATAATGACTATAAAATTTCCGCTGTCGCCTGTCCCCGTCGCCCCACCGTCCGGGGGGCGGTCCTCGGAGGCAGCGGGTAGGCAGGAGTGAAGGCAGTGTGGGTCCCGGGGGCATTTCTTACATACACAGCCATGCAGAAGAGCCACAAGGAGCGTCTCTACAAAGTGCTGGTAATCGGGGACCTGGGTGTGGGTAAGACGAGTATCATCAAGCGCTACGTTCAGCAGAGTTTCTCCGGCAACTACCGCGCCACCATTGGGGTGGACTTCGCGCTGAAGGTGCTCAGCTGGGGAGGGGAGACCGTCCGCCTGCAGCTATGGGACATCGCCGGTAATCATGTCACATTGAACTCATTTACTTAAAACACTGAAAACCGAAGCTTCTGGTAAAACTTTGCTCACTTTATAACAAATGAAGACCAATAAAACAAAGTGTATGATGCACCTAAACAATTTCTTTAAATCGTGTTTAGCCCATTTAATCTTTGCTTTTTAAACATGCCCCATAAAGTTAGTCTTTTACAACAGAATAACTTTATTTTAGTCTTTAGCCGCAGCTTATTTGTCCTGCTTTGAACGTCAGTTGTACCCCGTAATTCGGCTATACTGCCCCGGTTTCCGCGGTTCTTCTTCTGTAAGGCGAATCTTTACAGCGGTTACCGTAATAAGGTTTAATATGACTCTGCTGAATACTGCTGATCTCCCTGACGTCATTTCGATAACCTGCTTTTTCAGATACGTGTCATAAATGTATCTAATAAACGTATAAAAAATGACACCATCACCACTACAAAAACCAAGGAATCACAGTTTAAAACTTTAACTTTTGTTGAGGTCTATGATGAGAAAAAGACAGCACAACTGTCACAGATACAGACAATCCAGTGGAACTGAGAAGGCAGGACATTGGTTTGCCTCTTTGCCTGGACTGTATAATGTTATGAGGCACAGATTTAACTGGTTTCAGTGCAATAAAAGTACAGGATCGTAGCACAACTGCAAGCTGAACTGAACCGGTGAGCAGGTTGCCTTGCGTTTCCAGGTCAGGAGCGTTTTGGGAACATGACCCGGGTTTACTACAGAGAGGCCGTGGGTGCATTTATCGTCTTTGACGTGACCCGGCGTGCCACATTTGAGGCGGTCACCAAGTGGAAGGAGGACCTGGACTCCAAGCTCACCCTGTCAAACGGCAGGAGAGTCAGCACCGTCCTCCTGGCCAACAAGTGTGACCACGGGTGTGAACTGCAGAGTCATGACGCAGCCAGGATGGAGCAGTTCTGCAGGGACAGTGGCTTCGTGGGCTGGTTCAGAACATCAGCAAAGGTACTTCCTCACTAGGTCAGAAACACAGCTTCTGCTGTCCCAGAACACATGGTGAGATAGTCACCCACAGTGAGACAGACATACAATGGGAAAGTCAGACAGGGACACACACGATGGGAGAGTCACACAGATGTACAAACAGTGAGAAAGACACACAATGGGAGAATCACATAGGCATACTCACACAGTGGGAGAGTCACCCAGAGACACGCAGTGGGAGAGTCACATAGGCACACTCACACAGTGGGATAGTCACGTAGGTACACTCACACAGTGGGAGAGTCACCCAGAGACACACAGTGGGAGAGTCACATAGGCACACTCACACAGTGGGAGAGTCACCCAGAGACACACAGTGGGAGAGTCACATAGGCACACACACAGTGGGAGAGTCACCCAGAGACACACAGTGGGAGAGTCACATAGGCACACACACAGTGGGAGACCCACACAAGGAGAGAATCACACAGACACACAGAGTGAGAGACACGGGCAGTGAGAGAGTAACACACAGTGGGAGGGTTCCACAGACACACACACAGTGAGAGACACAGTGGGAGAGTCACACAGACACACACATAGTGAGAGACACACATGCAGTTGGAGAGTCACACAGACTCACATATAGATAGATAGTCAGGTAGACACAGAGTAAGAGACATACAATGGGAGAGTCAGACAGTCACACTCACACGGTGGGAGACACAGTGAGAGTCACACAGAAACACACATAGTGACACAGTCACATATTCACACAGTAAGAGAGTCACACAGACCACAGGTCCCTCTCCGTCCTACATCTCCCAGCTTTTATAACAAGTAGGACATTTGCAGAAGTCCCTGGGGGGTCTCTAAAGAAACTTTAATATGAGAGAACACTTGGGACATATAATTAATTCCTTCATGAATATTAATTATGGTCATTATGCCAGCCAATCAGAATGGCAGTTCAGATTGCAGTCAAACTGTAAGACAAAGGCATCGTTTGTGGCTTACAAATGTGCTCTGCACTTTGTTGATCTCTTTTACACTCTAACAGTGATCCATAACATGAACTCTACTCTCTCCTGTTGTCAGGACAACATCAACATAAATGAGGCGGCAAACTGCCTGGTGAAGCACATCATTGCCAGTGAGAAGGACGTGGTGAAGTCGGTCGTGCCTGACATCATCTCACCAAAGCTCAGTGCAGTCAAGGACAGCGCCTGCTCTGGCTGTTTTAAGGGGTGAGGGCCAGCGGGGGGGGTGTGGTCACATACAGAAGGGAGGCTACTTGTGGGGTGTGGCTACTCAGGGGGCATGAACATGCTGGGTGAAGGGCACGATTATTAAATGCTGTGGCTAAAATGCAGAATGGCACCTTATTTCCTCTGGGCCTCAGGGTTCCTCTACTCCAGAGGTGGGGAATCTGATTCATGGAGAGCCGGTGGGGGTTTTTGGGATGATCTCTCAATCGGTTGATTATAAAGCAGTGGTTCTCAGCTCCAGTCCGGAGGACTCGCTGTTATTTGCACGCACACTGGCTCTCCATGAATTAGGTTCCCCATCCTGCTCTACACACTCCATGGATCAAACAAAAGACTCCTGGTAAATGCTCTTTTTTCCATCATCTGAAACAGCCAGAGCAGCATTTGAAACAATGAGAAAATAATGAACATTTTTTGAAACCTTCCATAAATTTGACAGTGGGCCCACTTCTACCACGGGGGACAGGTTTAACGAGGGGGTGGTCAGCACGGTAAAATGGAGCAACGCAGAAAGAAGTGCTGTAATGCACCTGTACTCATACCTGTACAAATGGCAAATAAAGCATCATTTCATCTCCGTCACCATGACCTTGAATAAATGGCTAATTAAACCTACCTACCCTTTCTCTCCACATCCGTCTTCTTCTCAGTCTAGACACATCCTCAGTTTTCACAGACAAGCCTCTGCAAAATCTGGTGTACAGCTGGTTACCACCATTACTCAAAGTCAAATGTCTTATTCAAAGCGCATGTAGATAAAATGGTTCCAAAGCCTGAAATCTGGACCCACCAAGCAGCTGGTCAACAACTGTGTACTGTAGGGCCCTATGCCACACTCCTCTCCCTAGTGCATGTACATAGATTAGGTATGTGAAGAGCGCGACCAACATGGCCGCCTTTTTTGTTCCAGATTCCTGTTCCACCATCGGGTCATCTGAGCGCTGGGTATACCCCGGAAAATACGCATTCTTATTGTATCGCATTGCGGAATTCCGCGGTATTCCCACTGATAACATAGATGGGGAACTCCTCTTCGTCCCCCGTTTTGAATTTTTCAATTCTGTGTACATTTAGACCTTTTCCGGAAACGTTGAAAAATACACTCGATTTCAACATACAAAAACCACCTCAAAGGATTAAGTGACGCTTTTGAAAGCTAAATTGACATATTGTTCATCATTTCATCTTCCTAATCCTGCAGTTTCATAGCTTTCTATGGATCAGAAAAAAAGTTTACTGACCAGGACCGGCAGCATACAGGATCGTCACGGGCCAAAAATCCTGAAATCTGCTGTATGTTCATCAGTGATTTGTTGCATCAATATGCCATGATATTAGGGAAATATCTTAAGATGTGAAAAAGATGATTATATCCACTGAGTCGCATTTAATTAAGCAGAAGATAAGAGATATTCACATGGTCACGTGACCTAAACCAACAGCGGCGCCTGTTGATACACCATTCCAGTCTTCACCTTGTATCCATTTTATTTCAGACTAAGAACATACTTGGAATATATATTATTCTTTCAGATTGAAGAATATAAAGAGATACACCTTCCCTGAAAGTTTCATTGAGATATCTTGATTATGAAGGAAACTACAAGCGTTTTTATATAAAAAGTTAGGTATTTGGTCACAGTTTTCTACACACATTCCATTTTTAAAAATAGGGCTAATTAGCAAACTACTTTTGCCAATAATTTCCTTATTTGTTAAGATATCTGAGTGATTTTGGTGTCATTGTCTTTGTTTATTCAAGCTCTTTCCAATGGTACCATTGGCATTTAATTTGGTTGAGTTTGAAATTTTTCTTCACATACCTACATAGATCCACGGAATAGTCTCTCGAGTCCCCCAGGAGGACAGGGGGTGCCAGCGTGACTCACTGAGCACCAGCTGTAGACTGCAGGGGCCCTCTAGCTTTCCTGCCCTGGTCCATGTCCGTAGATCCACTGATTTGTGTCCCTGACAGCAGTGAGTCCCCCAGGGGAACAGGGGGCGCCAGCTTCAGTCACTGAGCACCAGCTGCTGTGGTTCCATTTTATGATGCCAGCGTGAGGGCACCTGCTATTCCATAGTGTCAGATACAGGCCGGCCAGCAAGCTGATATAATCAATGGCTCCAAGTCCAGGCTGTTGCATGTGTGATTAATGATGGTGGTGGTGGTGGGGGGAGGGATCCAGACCTCCACCCTCTGTGGTCAGTCCAACATGGACACCCTGAGGCCCAGTGTTCCTGATTGGATGGTGCTCACTGAGGAATGTGACCCATGCAACCATAGAAACACTCACTTCACTGCTGTTTACTCTTGCGAACCGCCCACCCCGAGCTCACCAAGCACACTACTCCCCTGTGTAGCCAATAGCCCATCCAAAGCCCCCCATTTTCACACTGATTTTGTCTGACTGCGCTAACTGATGTTGGTCAGAATCATCCCTTGAATACCTACACTTTCTGTCCAGTTTGTTTGCAGGACAGGTCCCATGACAGTAATCACAGCGATACTGAGTCTGTGAGTTTAGGCTTGTTTGTTTGTTTCCACCACTAACTGAGTAAGTCAACAAAGCCGGGTCCCATGACTGAGGTGATGGAGACACTGAGAGCAGTATTGAAGCCCGTAAGGTCCACTAATGAAAGCCTTGTGTGCAGCACACAAACCGTGCATGAAAAATGCACACAGATCCAACTCCACAGCACCTCAGTGAGAGGAACGTGCTGAAGCCAGCTGTCTAGCAGCTGCCTGAAGCTTCAGAGCTTCTTCACAGAGTCACACTCAAGCAATCGGCTTAGGAAGAAAATCTCACGCCAAGTGACACCGGCGGGTTAGATGCGCATTGTGTCACATTGGTGACGTACCTTGATGAATCCCGCCTGTCTAAAGCTCAGTCAGCACAGTCCTTCTTAGGGAAAATAACCCAAAGGTGCTAAAATAGAACTATGAAGACATATGTCTCCTTATTTGTGTCAGGTGCTGCCACTTGCCACCTTTTACTGTTGTCCCCCTACCCATGAAAATCTTAGGCTCGAGTGTCTGATTTGTCCTGCTGCTGACTCTGGGTGGGTTGAACATGGCTGGTTAAGATGCCATGTTCACCATAGTTTACCAGCTAGTCACGGGGGGTGTAGATAACATTCCGCATACCGCAATGGCAGTAACTCTGAATAAGTGCTTTTGTTCGCTGCAAACAGCAGTTATACTAGCGTGTCTGCCTGAGAACATGTATAAAATCAGGCCGGCTCGTGTTCAAGGTCTGTTGCATAAAGTGTGGGGTTATATAATCTCTGCTTCACCAAGTTCATAATGACTGCTTGTTGCAATATATAGTCCTTACACAGTGAGCATTTCTTAGGATATACTACAGAGTTCAGTCACGCTGACTTCCCACACACACACAGATTAGGTATCCAAATCTTTGTGAGGAGTCTCCATTAATTTCTATGGGCATTACCTTAATCCTAACTATGTCAACCTTAACCCCTACCCAACCTTAACCATAAGTAACCAAACAAAATACAAGACCTATGGCATGTTTAGTTTTCTGACTGAAAAAATGTCCCCAGACTGTCAAAATAATAGGTTTTTATCACATTGTGGGGAGATTTGGTCCTTACTGTGTAATATATACAGTACATGCTCCACACAGATGAATGAAGTGACTCTGTAGTCTTTATGCTCTGGGACCAAATGAACTCAATTCATCCATTTTTGGGGTGGTAGGTAGCTTAGATGGTCAGGGAAGGGAACCTACCTCTAGAAAATCATGAGTTCAAACCCTTGGAAGAAAATCCAGTCCATAGTTTTGTTTAGTCAAACAGCTGAGTACTCTGTGACTCTTTATACTCAACTGGTTGGTTGACACAAAACTTTGGTCTGGATTTGTATTTTCTGGACCTGAACTTTCCACCTCTGGTGGCTGGTAGCATTTGATAATATCAGTGTTGGGCCCTTGAGCAAGGTCTTTAACAGCACTGGGGACACTGGCTGACCTGGTCTCTGACCACAAGCTTTCCTCCATTGCATGTGGCTGTGGGCAAAAATATCTGCAGAATATTTTAATGTTCTGGTGCGTATAAGCTCAGCAAGAGAGGGGACTGTCTTGTTTTTGTTTCCTGACAGCTTGTCTTACTCGGGAGTTCTGGAATTCTGACATGTAAAGACAAACGCTCAATAGTCAGAGCAATGTCAGGTCATTGAGAGTGCTGGATTCTGTTTTTTTTTTTTTGCATAATCTTTATGTGGGAGATGAGAGGAAACAAGCACCCAATGAAGCTCCATAATTGATTATATTTCAGCGTAATGGGGTCGTGTGAATGGATGACTGACACAGCAGGTCACCGGGTATAGACTGCCTCGGTATAGACTCGGGTGACTCTGTGCATGTGGATCTTACATAGATCGCACCACATCTCACAATCGCTATTCATGGATGGTGAGCTGCAGGCTGCAGGCAGCAGGCAGCGACATCGTGATGCACCCAACATCCTAGCAAAATGCTGTGTGGATGGATTCTGACCACGGGAGAAACCAGAGCTACTGTCTGAGGCAGGACCTCTCAGGATGACATCAGCAGAGGAGCAACTGGGAGCCACTTTACGTGGCCTAAGTCCCTAATGCTAACACTGTAACCTTAAGCCTTCCCTCCTGCAGCTGACCAAGTGGTGTAAAGTTCACGAGGAACTCTGTTTGGCTGAATTGATAGACACAGGATCTTGGCCAGATTTCCTTCACCTTTGTGAAACAGGGGACAGGGACAGAGTTGGGGTGACTTGAACACGTTTCCAACTAGGAATCATGGGGGAACACGCAGGGGACCTAAGTGACTCAGCACATGTTACCAACAGGAATCACGGGGGAACATGCAGGAGACCTAAGTGACTCAGAACATGTTCCCAACAGGAATCACGGGGGAACATGCAGGAGATGAGAGTGACTCAGCACATGTTCCCAACAGAAATCATGGGGGAACACGCAGGAGATGCAAGTGATTCAGCACATGTTCCCAACAGGAATCATGGGGGAACACGCAGGAGACCTAAGTGACTCAGCACATGTTCCCAACAGGAATCACGGGGGATCATGCAGGAGACCTAAGTGACTCAGAACATGTTGCCAACAGGAATCACGGGGGAACATGCAGGAGATGCGAGTGACTCAGCACATGTTCCCAACAGAAATCATGGGGGAACACGCAGGAGATGCAAGTGATTCAGCACATGTTCCCAACAGGAAACATGTGGGAACACGCAGGAGACACAAGTGACATGGCACACGTTCCTGACAGGAACCATAGAACACGCTGGACATAATAGTGACATGGCACATGTTCCAGATAGGAACCATAGAACAACACGCAGGACATGTAAGTGACACAGCAACTGTTCCTGATAGGAACCATTGAGGAAAACGCAGGACACGTAAGTGGTACAGCACACGGTCCTGACAGGAACCATAGAGGAACATGCAGGACATGTAAGTGATACAGCACACGGTCCCTCTGCGTCTGCCTGTGGCCCCTTTAACTGGGCGCCCTCCAGGAAAACCCAGAGAAACTGGGGTTTGTTCGATATTTAAATGCCTTCCAGTATAATTTGCAAGGTCGTTTCAAAGACACTGTGATAATTAGAGGAAGTTCTCACAGGGGACGGCTAGATTACGTCATTCTGTTGATTCGAGGTCAGAGGGACTCAGTAATCGAAGCTCAAAGCCCATCTATGCTCAGAGAAACAAATTGAGGGCGATGGCATCTAGATGGAAACCACAGGGGGCGGAGCACTGAAACAGTATCCAATTAAAAGCCTCCAGATCATCACATAACTTGGGCCTTCTGACTTACTTTGATTAGTTTGTCACGGAGGTGTTCACTACAGAGGAATGTCAGCCTTCTGGGTCACATTTGAGCCACGTAGCGTCTTAATCTGGGATCACCAGATGCCTTCATCAATTGCCAATCAGCAATGCCAGTCCAATGTTCTGTTGAGCATGTTCCAATTACAGAACCATAGTTCTCTACAGTGGTTTAGCCAGGCTCACCTACCTCATCACTAAAGTGTACGACGGATGCAGAGCCACACTGCCAGCCCTGGAGGTCCAGGGAATCTGAAAAATCACTGTTCCACCACAGGGCAGTGTGGAGCGAAGTTTGCAGAGAATAGAGTGTGAGACAACATGAGCACGGATTTTGATCAGTGACCAGGCATTCGAAGGCTTTGGACTAAGACAGATGCAGCATTTTGCTCATGTTAAGCATCAGCAGAAGGAAGGTGTCCACTGGTCTGCCTCACAGTGCCCCCTGTTGGTACTTATTTAATTTGCATGTTCCTCATTAACATATCACCTGGAGCAGGGGTGGGCAATCTTATGCGCAAAGGGCCGGTGTGTATGCAGGTTTTTGGGATAACCTTTAGGTCAGCTGTTCAAAGGCAGGTGTGAGGACTTTTCAGCCAAATCAGTCCTCGAATTAGTAATCTAATTATGGAGCTGCAGCAAAAACCAGCATACACACCAGTCCTTTGCAGATAAGACTGCCCATCCCTGACTTAGAGGGACCAAGTGAAATTTCCAAAAGCTGTTCTGGTCCCCGGACATTCCTGCTGCTGCCTTATGGGACCAATGCTCATGGGAAGCTGTGAGAGAGTGAGATACACAAAGGCTGCACAGCAAACCGCTGAGAAAGGAGTCGCTCACTGGGGACGGAAAAACACAAACATCCTGTAAGATTCACCACAGCATGCGTAAGGCGGCTGAGAACAGCTCCGCATTTCACCGTGATCCCCTTACTGACATTCCATCCGGGGCATCCCCTGCGGCACGGGACCAGCTACGCAGTCATGGGAAACAGGTGGGTCCCTAAACGGTGCAGCGAACATAATCCATGGCAGGGAAATGCACCAACACCTTAACACAGCCACTGGCATGGAGGCCACACCCGCACTCACTTTGGAAGAGAGAGATGACTCATCGGAACAACAGACACCTCCTCCTCCGATGACCTGCACCTGTGCTCCTTACGGCATCTTCGGTCTTCCAGCACCGCATCTTAATACACGGTGCTAAGCATGATGGGAAGCAATTTGCTAAGCATGATGGGAAGTAACCTGCTAAGAATGATGGGAAGTAATCTGTACTCTGTATAGAGGAGACCGTGGACAGATGTGGAATTTTTTCCATGTCATTTCCATAAAATGTAGAAAAATGACACAATGGAAAAAAATAAATAAAAGTTGTAGTGTTTTTTAGTGGTTTTTGGGGGAATCTAAGTTATGCAGGAAGATTACTGTATCCTTTCGAACAACTGATCTCGTTCATCAATTGGCCTCAGTCTCCCCAAATATGTGGCTCTCACTTGCTGAGGCTATTCGCTCGATTCAGTGCTCACCTATACCTCACTCTAACCCCAAACCCTCCCACGACAAGGTCAGCATAACCACAAACGCTGAGAGGGGTCAACAGTGACATACGAGACGAAAAGAAGGCTGACACAACAGCAGGAAATGTCACCCGAAAGCCGCTCAAACAGGCTGCTTTATTGTTCCCGATGTTACATCCAGTTCTGTGAAAGATGAACACATTCCTTATTAGACTGATCTTAATTCGCCTCTCATTTATTCATTGCTAGATCTCAGATCTCAGGGTACTGTCAGCTATTGGCAGCTTGCACAGTCACAGTCCCGCAAGGGCCGTGGGGGAGGGCCCTTCGCATTTAACCCAGCGTGGGGGCAGTCATACTGCACTACAGGCCCGTGGGTCTGGGTCTCCCATCCATACGTGTGACATCACTTTAAAATGGGCAGTCAGGAGAAACTAAAAGCCTCACTTTATACAGGGATTTTAAAAGCCCTGCTTCCACTGTTTAAAAAGACATCTACAGATATATCTCAGGAGAGCCTGACTTAGCTAATCATACTGGTTAGATTTGATTGTAAATTAATGAGATTAAACTCAAACACAGAATTGCATTTGAATTCAGATAAGAAGATTTTCGTTATTTTACCTGCCGTTCGATCCATATTCAATATATCAATACGTAACTGCAAAGTACTACAATCATCGATGCCAAACCATTCAGTGAAGGATCTGTGGAAAATCGCATTTGGACTCACATGTGTTGGGTTTAAGTTGGTCTCTGCCCAGTCCTTCTATGTCAGACACGCTAATGGGAACCCTTTACCTGACCGCCTTCAGCACAGCCCACGTTATACCAGCTTAAGGTGACTCAGTGGCACCCCCTAGTGCCGTGACAATAGGGGGCATGTTTGGCTGGCATCACGGCGGTCAAGCTGAAGGCACTTCAGGTAAAGCGTTTCCACAGGCTCACATGAAGGTAACACTGATCACGCTGCATGAGGGGTGCGGTCGAGTCCTTAGATCCACCAGACCCACCCCAGGGCCACCCCAACTCAGCCGAGATGCCCCTCCACACCGGGGGGCATTAAGGTGTATCTGGGGTCCAACTGGGGCACAAAATCCTGAAACTCCTGTGAGGCCTGAGTGCCGAAGATGTCCAGAACCCGGCGGTTCATCAGGGAGAACCTGGAGAGGCACACACAGGAAAAGGAACACTCGTCACTCCAGGGATCAGTCACGTGGGACTGCTGATCCCACCCCCACACACCAGCTGACATCATACCAGGGATCAGTCACATGGGACTGCTGATCCCACCCCCAAACACCAGCTGACATCACACCGGGGATCAATCACATGGGACTGCTGATCCCACCCACGAACACCAGATGACATCACACCAGGGATCAGTCACATGGGACTGCTGATCCCACCCCCAAACACCAGCTGACATTACACCGGGGATCAATCACATGGGACTGCTGATCCCACCCACAAACACCAGCTGACATTACACCGGGGATCAATCACATGGGACTGCTGATCCCACCCACAAACACCAGCTGACATCACACCGGGGATCAGTCACATGGGACTGCTGATCCCACCCCCACACACCAGCTGACATCACATCGGGGATCAGTCGCATAGGACTATTGACTCCGCCCACAAACATCAGCTGACATCACACCCGGGATCAGTCACATGGGACTCCTGATCCCACCCCCATACCAGCTGATGCTACACTGGGGATCAGTTACATGAGATCAGTCACATGGGACAGCAGGACCCAGCCCCCACGCACCTGCCCTTCGTAAGCCGCAGGAGAAACTTCCAGTAAGAGGGCCGCAGATTCTGTACCTCCATCACAGCCTGGAGAAACACACAGCGCCTGCTAGTTAGAAAGCAGACACACAAACACACAGACACACAGACATACAGACACACAAACACACAGACACACAGACACACAGACATACAGACACACAGACATACAGACACACAGACACACAAACACACAGACACACAAACACACAGACACACAGACACACAAACACACAGACACACAGACACACAAACACACAGACATACAAACACACAGACACACAAACACACAGACACACTCTCAGTGATATCCACTTACCGCCTGGAAGCAGATTGCTGTGGAGACAGCATAGATCAAAGTGTCAGCGTGTGGAAAGTAGGGGACCCGGCCTGCCTCGATGCCCTTAAAGTAAACGGTCTGTGGAGAGGAGGAGGGAGTCAGGAGTCAGGGGTTAGGGTTTCCACAGTCATGCAAGGGCAGTCTGACAGAACACAGGTCACTGCAGGGTCACTACCTCCACCAGCTTGGAGAAAAGGTACATGGAGATGGTGGTGCTCTTGTAGAAGAACATGGAGACCCCAGCCAAGAATCCTAATAGGAGACAAGAAGGAAAAAACATACTAATTTAGGTAGGACTCATCACTGTGGATGTCACTGGACCTACAGAGGCAGGGGTCACATCCGCTGTCATCATGGCAACGCAGTGAGACTGATCGGCAGGGGGGGCGACATACCAGCAATGAGTGCGTGCAGCTCATCGTCAAGGTTACGCACCCACCGGAGAAAACAGCTAGTTCCCTGCGACAGACAGAAAGGCCGAGGCAGAGACCAAGATCAACGGCGAACCAGCAAAGGATTCTGGGATTTAAAATCTCATTATGAGTATGCACAGCTTTTGGGCTACGGTGGGGGGGCAGACCTTGTAAATGCTGACAAAGGAACCGAGGAACGCCCCCAGCTGGAAGTTCTCCTTATTGTAGAGGAGGGAAAGCAGGCGGGACGGACGGGTGAAGGCGTGTCGGAAGGCTGAAGGCACCCTCAGGCAGCACTGGATCAGGTAGCCCACGCTGAACATGCGCACGAAGCCCTGTTGGGGGGGACGGGGGGGGGAGAGACGCGCGGGGTCAGGCCAGCAGGGGTGGTGCGGCGGCAGCGTGAGGGCAGCATGGAAGCGGCTCGCACCTTCACGCAGTAGCTGATGCAGTTGTCACCGTAGTGCTTGCAGCACCTGTGCCGGGGGCCGTGTTTACATCTAGGGAAGCAAGAGAAAAGAAGTTGGTGCATCTTTCGGCGGACCGACTCCAGAGGACATGTCCCCATGCAGCCCAGAACCCGTCTCACACAGACTCCAGCAGTCTCCTGGTCAGGTCCGTGATGGAAGAAATACTGGAGGTAGACAGGACACGAGGCCGGTCTTGTTTTGGCCCCACAGCGCCCCCCTCTGGGCCCTTTGGGTATGTGTGCTCTGCCAGAAATGAGTGTGTGGGAATCTCCTCTTTGCCCACAATGAACCTAGTAGACATCACAGAAGAGACTCAACTTTAGCAGTGCTCTGTGGATAGGACCACACTGGGCAGACCTTGTGTGTTTCACCTACTTCAGGGCAGAGAACGTAAATCCCTGCAGTCCGTCTTTACACCTGGGGAACAAAAGAAACACAGTTTGTCCAGTGGCAGACGGCCTGAGTGGGTCCAATGTAACCACAATTGTCCTTAAGCTGCCCCCCTCCCACATGCCTGCACATCGTCATGGTCTCCCCTTTGCACTGCTTTCTGACTGGCTGTTAGTTTCCTGAGATATTGCATCACAGTACATTACTGCAATCAGTCATAACATCGATTTAACAGCAGAGGGCAGCACTGAGCCAGAAATGAAGCCCTTATCAATGAGTGAAATTAAAAGAAATATGAAAGAAAATTAATTCGCTATTTTTACAGGTAAAGAACACAGAAATTCTTTGATTTCCACATATGCCATTGTGCACACATGGATATACAGGTGAAATCTGTATAGGAGGCGAACGTTTTGGGGACGAGCACAGGATCAGTCAACGTGCAGCATCCCATGAAGAACTGGGGTTAGGGGCCTCGGTCAAGGGCCCAATGACGGCATTAGTCGGTCATCCAGGGGATTCTAACTGCGGACTTGGCAAACACGGGCAGTCCTGTCCCATTGAGCTACTATCCACAACGTGCATCATTGACAGCCGCAAATACTGCGGACAAGAGTTTTCCTCACCTGAAGAAGAACATGTAGAGAGCGGCTGTGATGCAGAAGAGCAGGACCTGCAGAGAGAGCAGAAAGGGCTCAGAGGAGACCCGCACAGGCCGGAAACGGCGGCAGCCTTCCGGAAGCCCTGGCAGATCCTGAACAAGCAGCCAGGCCGCTCTCTCACGTGGCTGTGTTTCAGGAACAGTGCTGAAGGGCCCGAGGCTGTCAACGGCTCACTCCGGAACATTCTACCAACTTCCTCCTGAGAAATCGGATGTGATACCCACTTCTCAATGAAAGCTACGCTCCAGCACCCTGCCCTGAGTGGGGAAGGGTGGGAGGGGCAGGACACCAGGCAGAGTCTGCACTGATTGGCTGGAAATGTGGTGTGACAGCCAGTGTGGGGAGTAAACAGCCTGCTCTGATTGGTGGAGGGCATGGTGTGACCTCATGCTGGGGGCTCACCTCGCCATGCTTGATTGGAGTGATGATTCCTCTGGTGGCACCCATGCGGAATATCGTCTCCGTGGCCTGGACAGGCGGGAGCACGGCAGCAAAGAAGAAGATCCACATGAACAACAGCTAGTGGCTCGCAGTCGAGCTCCACACAAGGGTCAGGCTCTTACCAGGTTGGCCATGTATATGGTGAGGAGCCCCCGCCTGCGAGAGAGTGGGAGGGGGACAGTCAGCATCTGCACTGCCTCACACACACACACACACACACACACACACACACACACACAGAGACCTGTAATCATATCTTTATGGAAACCGCTCATTCAATTCTATGAGAAAAATGCTAATGCTAACTATGACAACCTTAACCCCTACCCTGCCCTAACCATAACTATAAGTAACCTAACAAAATACAAGAGTTTTTGCATTTTTAGTTTTTTCATAGCAGTCACCGATTTTTATAAAAAAACGGATATTTATCACGTTACGGGGACATTATGTACATACACTCACACACACACCCCTCACCTGCTCTTCCGCTCAATCAGGATGGCGAGGTAGGATGCAGGCAGTGCTGCTCCAAATCCCGCTGACCAGGAGTAAAACCTACCCAGAATCCTCCTGGAGCGGGGTGATGGGGGGAGGGGAGGGAGACAGAGGGATGTGCATTATCACTCACCATCCCAACAATGCGGTACGGCAAAACTAGGGGGGGGACATGGGACAAAAAGAGTTTCAGGTGTATGGCTTATCGGCCTGTGGCTTCACATACACTGTGAGAGGCAAACCAACGCCCAAGAAGCAATCAGCAACATCGCCCCCTAGTGTTGGGAGTCAAAAGCAAAAAAACAAAGTCTCCAAACAGTACAATCTGAACTTGGAGCACACTGCGCATCACAGTCTTCATTCCACCTGCAAGCATAAAAATCACAGGAGCTTCAGCGTAACTCAGTCCCAGTGCAAAAGCAGGATAATTGGGACCAAATTCCATTTTTTATCTTATTTACTTTAAACACAAACTATATATTTCACATTCAGCAGTTTACTGTGTATCCACTGGGCTGTAACAGAGCTTGAACAGCAAACCCCCGTTACAGTCAGGATATTTTAATTTGCCGTTTGCAGTGTTGCATGTCATTTCCAAATCCCTGTTCCCCTTCGGAATGGGCCAAGCATGGAATGCATGTGGAAATCTCACTTCCCGAGTGACCTTTGGCTGAACACGCGGCTGACGTGTTACACGGACTTTAACCCCCGATGTGCTGAGGAACCCAGGCAAGACATAGGAGGTGCCTCAGCCCTGCACTCGCACCCCTAGTGGCCCAACACACACAGACACACAGACAGACACTGCACGTACCTGAGGATGCAGAAGAAGGCGATATAGAGACCCCCGTTGGCCGTCAGGAAGGAGGCGCTCTGCAGGATCTCAGGCAGCAGCCTCTTCACATAGTAATCCCTCTTCCTCCTCCGCAGGATGGCAGCGATCTGTGGGCAGAGAGAGTTACTGCGGACGGATACCAGCCAGCGTGTGGCGCTCTCCTCCGTTATTGCTGCATCTGTCCTCAGCTGAGAGTCTCTTAGGGTTCCCCCAAGCAGGGACTTATGGGGGCAGCCTGGGGTATTAATCCTCACCCCACACAGGATCCAAGCTCACACACAGCCCTGGGGTATTAACCACCACCCCACACAGGATCTGAGCTCATATATAATCTTGGGGTATTAACCCTCACCCCATACGGGGTCTGAGCTCATACCCAGTCCTGGGGTATTAACCCTCACCCCACATGGGATCTGAGCCATGTTGTTATCCACGGTGACTCTGTGTGTGTGTATGTGTGTGTGTGTGTGTGCGCACACATGCATGTCTTTGTGTGTATGGGGGGTTTGTGTTCACACCAGAGCAGACAGGACCTTCCCTATGAGAGTTATGCCTATGACAGTTACAGGTATTAGAGTTACAGCCAGCACACGGACTGTGACCGGGCTCTGTAATGCACCGCTGTCCTTCACACACTCAAATTGACCGTAACCGTAGGAAATGAGAAGCAAACGACAGACACGGACGCATTACCGACATGGCTTTATAGATACTATAACGAACTCGATCCTGTAAAAACAGCAACCCTAGGTGCCGCGGAGAGGTCGGGAAGTCCCCCTCCTCCGAATGAAGCTCCGAACAGCCAGCAGTTCACAGGCCCCGCCGGGCGCGCCAGAGACCCGAGGCCGCGGGCGGTCACGGCGATACTTACGAGGTACAGCGGCGCGTATATCTTAAAGGAGACCTCCAGCGCCCCAGCCGTCACCTGCAGGCTAGACACGGTGCAGGACGAGTTCCAAGTGTGCCCGATCTCGTAGCACGTATGCGGAATGGACTTGCTGAAGGCCGCCATCTTTGCGAGCGCTCGCCGCGGCTGCGCGTTCAGGAAGGCACGGGGACGCGCAGGCTGCGGAGAGCTGAGGAAGGGGGGGAAAGGTCGCTGCTGGGGTTATTCCAGGGCAAGCCGGCAGAGAGACTCAATGAAGGGAATTAGGCACAAAAGCGCTTCGTCTTTGGTGCCAAAATTTGCCGATCGTCTAGTGCCTGGTGCTGATGGAAAATCACTTCCATCATTTTGCAATTTGGAAAAGAGATGTCTTTTCCCAGAGATCATTCGGCAGAGATCTTTCAGCTGATAGATGGCGCAGTATTACTGTACAGTAGGGTTCGGCAGTATCGCTGATTTTCTTTTTGGTCCCAGTAATACCAAAACTGATATCCAGATACCTATATTCTTAGGTCTTTTCTGCACAGGAATCTAACCTGTAGTCCAAAACTAGTTCCACAGTCCATATAAAGGCGTACATGTATTAATAGGTGTAATTAGAATTAGAATTAACTTTATTGATCCCAGAGGGAAATTGTAGTGCATACAGCAGCGAGCATGTAGAGCACATACGAACATATTTTTAGTGCAAAAGACAAGGTGCAAAGGACACATAGTGCAAGCAAAAAATAATAATAATAATACATTTAATTTATAATGCACTTTATATTTGAAAGCAAATCTCAAAGTGCTACAAAATTAATTCGACCCGAAAAGTTACATAGTGCAAACTACTGTAATTATAAGGCACACTTTAGAGTCCCGATGAACAGGATAATACAAAATATTAATGATACCGATAAATATTAGGCTGGTGTGGTAGAAAAATTATGAATCAACCTCTCTGATAACACAGAGAGTCACTTAGAATAAAAGTCTGGACGTCTCAGTTTGGTGAGTAAAGAAAATCTCTTTTATTCCAGCGATTTCAGCAAAGCGCTCCCATCACACTCTGGCACTCGGTACCAAGTCACCCCCAACACACAGAGCAACCAGTTAATAAACCATAACTCCCAATTCCCTATAAGGACTTCTAAGTCCTGATTGGTCACAAAATACCAACAAACTAAGCTGAAACGTATAACAAACACAATTCTCCTGCTCCATTGGTTCACCTTGATAGCAAGGTAAAGTTCACCCATCTTGCTCAATTTACCGGAATATGGCTCTGCTTCTAGACTCTACTTGAGATATGTATATAGATATTGATTATACACTCACCTAAAGGATTATTAGGAACACCTGTTCAATTTCTCATTAATGCAATTATCTAATCAACCAATCACATGGCAGTTGGTTCAATGCATTTAGGGGTGTGGTCCTGGTCAAGACAATCTCCTGAACTCCAAACTGAATGTCAGAATGGGAAAGAAAGGTGATTTAAGCAATTTT